CGTGAGGGCCCTCCTTCAATATCTACTGTTTTTTTCTTTAAGGAGTGAACTAGGCAGTTCATGGCTTATTTCAGAATCCTCTCAAATTGATTTGAGGGGATATGGGGATATATGTATATGTATAGCTGATTCACTTTTTGATACAGCAGAAACTAACAAACCATTGTAAAGCAATTATATTCCAATAAAGATGTCGAAAAAAAATGACATTAAAGCCACACTGAAAATATTAATCCTTTAAACTATAACCCATTGCAAATTGTGCCCAGGTATGTTGTACAACATATTAACTGCACAATGTAAGAAACAGTGGGTGAAATGGGTGAAAGGGGTCAAAAGGTACAAACTTCCAGCTATAAAATAAATGTCATATAGACATAATGTACAGCAAGGTGACTATAATTAATAATACTGTGTTGCATATTGAAAGCTGCTAAGAGAGTAGAGCTTAAAAATTCTCATCACAAGAAAAAAATAGTAACTATGAATGGTGATGGATATTAACTAGACTACTAAAATCATTTTGTAATATATACAAAATCAAATCATTATATTGCACACTTGAAACTAAATAATGTTATATGCCAATTATATGCTTCAATAAAATTAAATATTTTTTGAAAATAAAATAAAAATTATTTTTGAAAAAGAGATTTCATTTTGTTTCTTCTACCAAGTACTATGTATAGTGGTTGTCAACTAGGACCCTCATTCCCCTGGCTTCATACCTCCCAGTGACTTCTTTAACTGGTGAGATTAAGAGGTTGGACATGTCAGAAAACTTTTGCGTTGTTTTTTGTATTTATCTCTTTTAGGCACAATCTAATTTATTTAAAACATAGAGAAAACTTTGTGGGCCAGTGGCACCTGTAGTTATATCCAGCTTTGCCTGTGACGGGATGAAGTATGAGGAAATACTTGTGTCCTGAGAGCTAAGTATGTCCTCCAAGCCATCTTTTATCAATTATAAAGGAGATATTTTGACCTCTATTTGTGTCATTATTTTGCCTGTCTCTCAAATGGTTACAAACTTGCATGGAGAAAAAGGCTTTAATTATTGGTCCTTTGGAACCTCAACCAAAAAATTATGATGAGCTGTGGCACAATTTCATTCTGGAAGGGAAGGAACAACCATTATAGGTATGCCATGACCTGACCTTACTTCTTCAAGATAAATACAGGACCTGGGTCATTAGGGGATGTACTGTCATCTCTAAGACATGAAAGGAAACTTTTGCCATTCCAAAGTGGCACTTTGTAGTTGTCTCCTGGGGGAAAGGGTTGGGAGAATCTGACAATATTCCTTTAAATGTAATACATGCCCAAACCAAGACTTATTGTGTGATCCCATAACTGATAATTAATCACTAATATCATACCTACCTCCATTTTAACTCAGAAAAGACAATATCATTTGGGCTTGGGCAAGGGGGATGGAATGTGATCTAGGCAATGCACTTAAAACAATTCTACATTAGTATATGCATCTATACAAATAAGAAAGTTTAAGACCTGCCCAAAACCAGCCTCCTTTTAAATAGCTAATTATGTTAAATTCTGTACTAACTGATTTAAACCCATGATAAACTGTTTGGGGTACCTGCTGCTGTTATCATGATAGCAACTTTTACTTCTTACCTGTTTCCAATAGAAGGAGAAGGGAACATTCCAAGGAGGTGAAGCAACAGTAGGAATGTATACAGGTTTTCTTGGTCAGTTTCTCAATCTCACTTCATCAGAATTATACACTCAGTCTAAGGAAGGAAGAGCCCAAATGCTTCATCTGTATTTTCATTTGGGAAATTGTGTGTCTCAAGGATATTAGCAAGCCTAGCATTGTAACTGACACCTCTCTTCCACCAAATATCTTGTCTAAGGACAAATCAGGCAAGATACACTGCAAAATATAGACAGAATTAGACCAATTTCACATTGCACTCACTGCTGCCAGAGTGGTTTAAACCATCATATCTGTTACCTGGATTATTGGAATAGTCCCGAATTGATCTCCTGTTTTCCATCTTTGTACCCCATTACAGACTATACTCCAGAGTCTCCAGTGATCCTGTTAAAATATGAGACAAATCATGTTGTGGTTATGCTGAAAATACTTGAATGGCTCCCCATCACACACAGTGTAAAAGTCAAATTCCATTCTAGGCCCTCCGAGGCTCCAAGTTATATGCTTCTCCCAGATCCACATCACCTCTCTGAACTCACTTCCTGATATTCTCTACCTTGCTTACTCAGCTCCAGCCATGCTGGTATCCTCAGTGTTCCTTGAAATGCCAGGCCTACTCCTGCCTTGGGACCTCAGCACTTGCTGTCCCGCTACCTGGAATGCTCCGTCCCCAGACAGCCAAAGGGCCAGTTCTCTCATTGCCTTCAGATATTTACGCAAAAACCAGGCTCTCAGTGAGGCCCTCTGTTCAGCCTCCTCCCTGGAATTTAAGTCTCCCTGTTCTTTGCTTTATTTTTTCCTTCTTAACTCTCATCACTTTGAAAATACTTTATATTTTACTTATTGTCTCTTGGCTACTGTCTGTCTCCCACACTAATATGAAAGTTCCATGAAGATAAGATTATTTATTTGTTTATAACCATATCATAAGGACCTGTGTCTAGAAGACTGCCTGGCAGACAGACCACCTGAAGTAAGTATTGGTGAGATGAAGATAGAGCAAACAAATTAAAAAGCAAGTTGGGTTAAAGTAAGCCAAAGAGGGCTAGGCAGTTTTCCCTGGGTCTAGCCCCAAAACTACCAATGCAAGTGCCTCCAGGAGACAACTGGGTATTTTATTAGAGCGAAGAAGGCCAACTGGGGGTGTGGCCCCATTGAGAGAGCATTCTGAGTCTAAAATGGCTGAGCCCTTCCTCAGAGCCAGCTGCTTGTATCCTTGTTGGAATGTGGGCCCTAATCCTTGGTCTATTGTTTTTGTTTTTATTTTTTCAGGTAAGCTAGAAATGTGGATTTTTGAAATGTGAAATCCCCCAAATGTCTAAGTAGCTAATTTTAAAATGGAGAATGATAAAAACATGATGATCAAGCAAAATATGACAGTGGGCTGAAATTGGCCCATGAGTGGCCTGCAGGTGTTTGCTAGACTGAATTATGTGCTGTATAAAAGAAAACTTATCCCTGTTCTGGTGAGGTGGGCTTGCCTTGTGTAATTCTTGAGGCAAACAACTTCAGGCCATGTTGGGTGGAGAGAATGAACTGGAATTACCAACTTCTTTCAACTCCTGGAAGTTCCCTGCCTCCCTCTCTCCCTGCTATGCCTGAAGTTAAGGAAACCTGGGCAGTGGGGAGTCACCAGAACTGTTTCTTTGAGGGTAGGGGTATATTTCAGTGAAGTGTGGAGTGGGAAAACCAGAGAGAGGGTTTTGAGGGAAACTTCCACAGCTGGACCGGGGAAAGGAAAGAAGGAGAGAAGGACAAAGACCCATGTGTTGGGACATTGTATCTCTGAGGGAATTTATTGGGGGTTACAATACCCTCTCCCCACCAACCACCTATGTGGTACCATACAGTCGAAGGACTTAGTTATACAAAGTCACAACTCCCCACCCAACTGCTCATGCCATCTATCTCACCTGGAAATAGAGCTGCACAAATTTCCATCACAGCTCCCCGTGTGCGTGAAGTGGATAAGACTGGTCAGGAGGTACCTGTGAAAGGTCAGTAGCCTCTGGCTTTCTCGGGATATAGCCAGAATGGGGCTTCTGGAGGCAGCAGACCTCCATCTGGTGAAGCACTGGGTGGAGCCACCTGTGGTTTCAGACAACTGCTGAAAGAAGCATGGACAGTCAAGTATTCCCCACACCCGGGAGAGAAACAATGAGCTCAATCCTCCGATGCCCCTCCTCTGTAAGGAGGCCAGGTATAGTCCAGGAGGAGGAAGAACAGTGAGGAGAGTGCTGTACCTGGGTTTAGCAAGTTTCCATTTTTCTGGATAAAATGCTTTCCAAATGCAAGTTGGCACATCTCTTAAGTTCTGAGCACCCCACTGACCTGTTCCCCACAAAAATCGTTTATTCAGTGTAGGCGAAGGGAACCAAGACCTTCAGGTCTGAGATTTACTGCTCTTGGGTCCTCTGGAAAATACGAGGAAGCTGCCCACAGGCCCCTGCTTATGGAGTGCCATGTTAGTGTGTTTAGGCTGAGGGTTTGGGTTCTGCTCAGCAGGTGTGGCATGAACTCCCTGATATTATAAAAGGCTTTTAGGTATAAACTTGGCTCCTGCTTAACTCTTGAGACATTCCTGTCAAAATGTCCTTCTAGGGAAGCTCCAATCTATCTGGTTTCTTTGACGGTTTCCACCTTCTTTGGGCACAGAGATAGGGAGGGCAATTTGGATACTGCCAGAAGTCCTATTTTTCCTTGGGTCTTCCCATCTCTCATGGACCCCACTCCCCATATCTTGTTGTCTGTATTCTCACTCCCTCTGTCAGTCTTTCATCTTAGAATTCCTCTTTCCTCGATGTCCGTCCCCTTCTGGCCCCTCACTCATGCATAGACCTCCATTTGAGTATCCTTTTAGCCTCTCCCCAGATCTCTGCCAACTTCATCTTTCTCTCCCTTGCTCTGGATCTCTTCTAAACGTCCTTGTGTCCCCCTCTACTCAATTTATTCTGTCTGTTTTCCTCTAAGCCTCAAGATCTCACTCTCCCTCTGTTATTCTTCACCCCCTCCCAGTTGTGTGCCTCCCCCTCTTAGGTCATCCCGCCTGCTAGGGAGCCTCTCCATTTTTGACCCCTCCCCACCTCCTGCTAAGCAGCCACCTCCCCTTCTCCCTTCCCCCACAGCTCATCTCTAGTTCCTTCTCCTCCCCCCTCCCTAGACCAGACCAGCTAAGTCCTATTCCATTTTTAGATGACTGATTATGATACTAGCTGAACTTTATTCACAGCCTGAATTTACAGCTGTTCCTTCCTTTCATGCCCTAGCCACCAAACACACCCAATCGTTTCAACATGACAAATTCCTTACACACAGCATGTCATGGCCACATAAATTTGTATTTTTCAGGACAAAACAACAGTTATGCTGGCAAAGATGTCGGATTAACAGGGACCCTAAAGCTTTCAATACACTGAAAAGTAACATTATTTTGCATGTCTACAAAGTACACATTTGTTTTCACAAATGTGGCAAAGTTTACCCTAACAGTTAGGACTTTTTCACCAAATCATAGACATAGATATGGAAATCATCATCAAACTTGATGAAATACACAGAGGGTTTGGCTTCCACTTGGTGAATGACCATGCCGATCCGTTTGGAGCCATCTTCTTTGGTATATTCCACATGTTTACCTATCAGGCCATCTACAACTCCTCCTGGCTCCCTCTCTGCTGGAGGAGACTCACTGGACTCTGGCATGATACGGAGGTCTCCTTCTTTATAATCATCTAGAAGCTGGTACATGTACAAGACAGGATCTTTCTCATAGGTAATATAAAACCAGGCTTTCATGATAGGTGCTTGGGCCAAGACCATTCCTCTCCATTCATCCTTAGAACCATGCTCACCCTCAAACATATGTTCCACAGCTTTACCAATTATGGTATTTGCAAGGTTTGCATCACTGACTTGAGATGATGCCACCCTGTCGGAAAGAATTTTAAGAGACAAAACTCTTTCATCTCTGTGAAGTTCCAGTCCATAGACACAGTCAATTCCATCATATTTCACCAGATAAAGAGAAGGATTTATAGGCACCTGATCCAGAACGGTTCCTTTCCACTGGGTGATGGGCTCATCGCCTTCCTTCCATCCGTGTGAAATCCTGCAGCCTACGATGTTCCTGCGGGGCTGGGACGAAGGTCTGCCTCTCTGTTTCTTTTGGGAGGCTTTTCTCTTTGTCATGTTTGCAGACCCAGTGGCCCGTCCTGCAACTGCCCTGGTTTGTTGCCCTTCGGCCTCCTGCGAGTTGGGGGTTTTCATGTCTGCAAGGAGGAGGAGAGAAGAGAAGAGAGGAACATTCAATATGCCATAAGGTGAAGTTCTCCAGACAGCGTCGTCTCCATGTACCCTGCGCCAGCGCCTAAAATTTCCCCATGAGCCTGGCAGCAATGCTGGAAATCCTGGCTGTGTGCCTGAAAGTGCTCTCCCTTCTAGGTTCCTTGAGGTTGCGGGAGAAGGCGGCAGCGGCAGTGGTGCTGCCTGGGGTTAGGAACTCTGCAGGAGGGGGCGGGCTACCTCCTTGTTCAGAGACCTCCGCCTCCGTCACCCGCCACTGGTGCCCACTCTCAATCCCCTGCAAAAGCCCTGTCCCTCCACCGCCCTGACCCGCATGCACTGTCCTCCTGCTCTGAGCACCCCAGTCTGCTACCCACACGCCCCCGTCCACCCCCACTCTCTTTCTTGGCCCCCAGCGCCCTCGCCTCTCCGTGCTCACCTTCAATGTCTTGCCTGATTCCTTACGCTATTCCCCTTTCCTACTGCCCATTGCACTCCCCCTTCCCACCCCGGCGCCCGCCTCCACCCCTTATCTCCTGCAGGAGTCCATCCCATCCCCCTTCTCCATCCCAGCGCCCACCAATGGCCTTGCCTTGCCTGGCGTCCACCGCCCCGGATCTCGGGCTTCACGTGTGCAAATCGGACACCTCGCAGCTTCCTTTGCGGTGAGCCTGCGTCCAAGAAGGATCCGCAGGCTCCCGAGGAGCCGGGTGTTTGCAAGAGCTGGAAGGGGAGGATCCTTAGGCGGCGAGCGTGTTTAGTAGGGCGGGGGCGGGGTGGTAGGCGAGGAGGATGGCGATGGGCGGTGTCTTCAGTGCTGGGCTCAAGGGCCCTCTGCCTCCTTGTTTGTGGTGGTTGCCTCTCTGGCACATGGGTCTCCCACCAGCCGCTACTGGTGCAGTAGTCTCCTCCCTCTTTCTGCATAGGACTAGGCTCTTAGTTTCCTGTTAGTGAAGAAGGCCTCCCCTTCCTCCTAAACCCTATGCTGCCAGCCTCCATTGCCCTGGAGCCACTCCCAGGCCGCTCCTCTCCTTTCCAAAATTTAGATCTCTGGAAACTCTAGGTGGTCTTTTCCTCTGCAGGTACTTCCCACCTCCACCCTCTCAGGCTCTCTAGCTCCACCCCTCAGCTGCCCTGCTTGGGTGCCTCTTAATTTTTTACAGGTTCTTCATATTTTTTGCACACACAAGTTCACACAAAACATATATGTATACAGAAATCCTTTATATTCATACCCAAATATATTTATGTGCATACATATTTTTCTGTATATTTCTGATATTCATATTCACTGATATATAATCCTAAATACACACCTCTTCCCAATCACATAACACACAGGCATATTTTTTGGTATACGACTACACAGAAATACATATAATAAGAATTTCTCCAACGCATGTGTAGGTTCTTTTAGATTTGGAGACTTAGCTTGGAGAAATAGTGAGTTATTTTAAGCTTAAAGAGTTTTTTTTTGTGTGACTCCAATTTGTAACAAATGTTATCTAGTTTTGCATAAAGTGACATTTATTTTGTATCTTGTTTGTATCCTTTTTGTTACTTATAGTTTTTTTCCACCATATCGCATAATTCTTTAAAATATCACTATTATGGTGTTATATCAGTAGGAAAGCAATCTCAAACTGATTTAAAATAACAGTAATTTATTGGGTAATTATTTGAATAATCTTATAGGTGTCAGATTGGGCTTAATCTAAGTGCTCACTGTTATGGGCTGAATCGTTTCCCCTGCAAATTCGTATGTAGAAGTCTTAGCCCCCAATACCTCAGAATGTGAATGTATTTGGGCGTAGTGTCTTTAAAGTGGTATTTATAGTGAAATGGGGTTGCATGGGTAGGCTTTAATGTAATATAACTTGTGTCCTTATAAGAAGAGGTGATCAGAATGCAGACATACCTGGAAGAACAACCATGTGAAAATAGAGAAGATGGCTATCTGGAACGCCAAGGAAAGTGGCCTCAGAAAAGAGTCAACCCTGCCGACATCTTGATCTTGGACTCATAGCCTGCAGAACTGGGAGAAAATAAATTTGTTTTGTTTAAGCCACTGAATCTGTGGTACTTTTTTATGACAGCCCTAATAAATGAATGTATTCAATGCCGTCACCAAAAACCTACTTTTGTTCCATCTTCTATTTTCTCTGTGTTGTCAGTTTCATTCTGAAGCTTATGTTACAATATGGCTGTCAGCAACTTTGGGAGTTATATGCTCCCTTATTCATATCCAGTGACAAAGAAAACCTTTTTAGAGCAACTTTTGATCAAAATTTTGCTTTACTTTGATTGGGAACTTCATAGGTCATTTGCCTGTCCTTATACTATGACCAAAGACAATGCTGTGTCCACTTATTTTAGTTTCACTTTATATACTTATTTCAGAAACAATTACATTAACAAAGTGAATCTGTTTGAATAATTGGCTCATGCTAATCAAGTGCCACTCCCGAAGTTGGGGTTGGGGTCAATCCCACAAAAATTGCATAGGTCCTGTACAATGAAGGAGGATTGAAATGGATACTGGAGTAATCAATAATGTCCCCAGAAATTCGACATTATTACTTTGAAAGGCAATCTAAAAGTTTTTATTATTCTAAAATTCGTGTTTCTCTGATACTACTCTTAGATCTATACAACTGCCAAGTAATTGCAGATTTGTTCATATTTCTTTGATGAGGTAGTAATAATTTATCCCCTTTCAAAAATTTTATTCCTAAATTTTTGCAACTTGTTGGTATATTTACATCATCCCCTGTTGTTGAGTTTCGTTTATTGAAAATCTTTCACGGAGAATCAAACCAGCCTCTTTTACAGTTATCCTTTCATATTCATGGTTTTGAATTATCTGACCCCATAAGGGTAACCAGTAGGGTAAGACTAGTATGTTAAATGTTCCAAGGCATCAAAGTTCACTCTGTACTTAGAAACCAACACAAATATCCTCTCCTGAAAACACAGCTTTCTGATTTCCTTTTGTTGAGGGTCACCATCTTCAAGAGAATCTGGAATAACTAACAAGTCCTAACCGGCCTACCTTCTTGGGAACTAAAGTTGATGCAGGAAGAACTTGATAATAGTCCCACTAAGTATCTACAGGAAGGACTTTGGTGTTGTCCTAGAAAGTATTTCTCCAGTGCCACTACAGCTAGAAACTATGTAGTGTGCAGGAATGGTCCCTTAAATACCACTGAGGTATTACATTTCCCAACAGTTTTCACTTATCCCACCTTGTGCTTTATCCAAACTACAAAGCTTTTAAGGCCAAATATATTTCTTATATGCTATCTTTTCTTTCGTCTTGGCCTTATCTATTCATTTCTCAAACTGACTTCCACATCTTGCCAGTTGCCTTTGAGATCCCATTGACCACAACTTTCAGGTTTCTTGTCCTCCTTTAAAACAGTTATTACACCTCAGATTCACCCAGAAAATCTCAAAACTGACTGCACTTTCTTCATTTTTCATGTATTAACTTGACCATACATCTATTAACAAATTCTGGTTAAATTCCTTGAGCTGAACATTTATAATTGGATTGCATGGAGCTGTGGTACAAACTCAATCTCGAAGAAAGCAAGGACCATTCCACATCTAAGGTTTTTGGTCACTGGCCTAGCACTCTACTTTTTTTTTTTTTTTTTTTTTTTTTTTTTACGGGGGTTTTTTTTTTTTTGGTTTTTCCCTTTTGGGTGCACGGCTTTGGTGCTCCAGGCTCTTGGAAATACTTTCTAGGACAACACCAAAGTCCTTCCTGTAGATACTTAG